TGCCAATGTGTGAAACACAAACCAAGGTTCCCTGTGAGAAATAAACTCAAAGAAGAGACAATACAATCCAAAAAAATCACCAACCCAATACCAACAAATATAAAAAGGATCGGGTCTAAACCCGGGCCACTATAGGAAATGTTTGATTGGTGGACTAAATTTCTTGATATTGTTTGGGATTAATAACACAATTAGGTTAAGGTTAGGATTAGTAATATATAAAATAAGTTATTTTAGTTGGCTAATTTAGCCTGGTTAAAAAAGTTGTGCTTGGGATGATAGTTGATTTTATTTTTAGTTGATTTGATGGTTGTGAAAGATATATGAAGTATAGATACGGATATGAGATATGGTTACGAAAAGATATGGATACGACAATACGACAAAATCTAAAAAAATAGGATACTAGTGCGGCTTCAACACATGTAAAAAAAAAATATTTAAAAAAAATTTATTAGTAGTGAATTACATATAAGCTCAAGAATTTGAGAAATCACATTGTAATTTTATGATGCAAAATACTAACATTCAAGAATTATGTATTAATTTAAGTTTTTCAATAGGTCTTGCAAACATTTTACTATTTCAATATCAAGTCTAATATGCTTATATTATAATAGTAGAATAATTCACAATTTGTCTCTATGCTTTTTCCTTTGCCACTAATAAAAATGTTGTATTCAAGTTTCCTTGTTTATTTATTTATTGATATTTAATTTTAGTATTAATTACCAAAAAGTCCTGTCTACATATTTGGTGGTAGCTTAGGTCCTGTCAAAAAGTTTTTGAATCAATAAGTCTCATTTATAGGTAAAAAGACGTTTTGCCCTTTAATCCCAAAACTGAGAATGTTCTCAATTTCAAAATTGAGAATGTTCTCAATTTTAAAAACAGAGAATAATTTCAGTATATAATTATCAAAACTAAGAAATTTCTCAATTTTTTTCCTAGTATGAACTGAGAATATTATCAGTTTTGAGAAATCTCAATTTTTTGGGTGTTTTTGGTGCTTTTGGTGCGGTGACTTTGGAGAAATCGAAGCTCGATATGACGCAGAAGCAAACCACATCAAGTCCTGACGTATGTGTTCTCTTCTTGCTTGATCACAATTTGTTTGGCTTCTGAGAAAAGTATGGGATTAAAAAGAAAGATAATTATGCGAACCTGATACATTAGATTGTTGAATTGAGTTTTTTTTTCATGATTAAAATTGAGAATATTCTCAATTTCAAAAAAGAGACTAAGCTTAAGAGTATAATGCAGTGTCATATGTCTGAGTACCTGGTTTTGCCTCTACATAGTGACTCGAATTTAACAGAGAGTTTGCAATTGAGGGTCATGGCTTGCTTTGTGTTGCGATTGTAGAATCTAAATCTGGAGTCGACGACGCACTGGACGGAGGGGAAGCGATCGGAGGTGAGAGGAGAGGGACTGAGATAGATGAGGAGCTGTACGGATGAGACCAAAGATTGGGTCTGTGGGGAGGAGAATGAGGGTTAATACAACAACGATCATCATGATCGCTGCTCCGATTATGTAGCAAAGAGGGCTCGGTGGTTGAACATCTATCACCATCCTGAACTGAAAACACACACCCAATCACAAACATGTATGTAATTTAACCTTAGACTCCTCCTATTAATCAAACAAGATCTACATCCAAATTCACACACACACAGAGAGAGAGAGAGAGAGAGAGAGATACAGGCATCATTGGTGTTACAGCAAGAAATAGAGATGATGGAATTCCAGTGCTAGTGTAGCGATGGTTGGAAGACGACCATCTAATTCCCAAATTCAGGTTTGGAAGGGTCAATTGGTCTATTAAAAATTAATGGGACTTAAAGGAGCAAATATTTATCTAGGACTTAATGAATTATAAGTTCACAAAATGGGACTTGTATGTAAATGCCCCTTAATTTTACTATTATTATATTCTTTTGCTAATCGTTACTTTCTATGTAGTTATAATATGCCTGAAAAAATAATTATACATCAATTTGATAAATTCTATTACTTTAAATTACTATGTTCTTCTTATCAAGAACTAAACTAAGTATTAGAAAATATTCTTGTATTTATCTTTACAATTATATTATATTATGGTCTCGTTTGTTTTGGGAGATGGAGAAGGGATTGGGATTGAGATGAAAGTGAGATCCACTAATGTTGTGTTTGTTTTGTGAGATGGAAAGGGAATTAAGATGGGTCTCCGGATTAGGATGAGTCGTGGAGAGGGGATTGAGGTGGAGGTGGAAGAGTTGGTATTAGAAGTTAGTCCTCCTGCTTAGTATTATTATTATTTTTTTTGGCACATTAATGTTTAATGTTTTTATTTTTTTGTTAAATAAAAATCATAGTTTTATTTGTTTTAATATTTTATATTTCTTTTATAGAGTAATAATTTAACAATTCTCACACTAACAACTATCATCAAAGCAAACACAATTTTACTTAATCCCTTCACTATCAATTCCCTCATTATCAACCCCCTCCGTTCTACCTCTGAAAAAGGGCCCTATAATGCTATGTAATAAATACTACAATACTAATTTTGTAAAAGAAGTAATATGTGACTTAGAGTATTCGATACTTCAAAATTAAGTATCTGATACTCCAAATTTAATGAAAAATTAATTAAGAAGTATTCGATACTTTTAACAAGTATCTGATACGTATCCGTGAGTATCCAAAGATTATCGATATCTGATATGGATACGATACAGAGATGTCTTCCTTTTTGAAGTATCCGTGCTTTATAGTGAAAGAAAAAGTGAAATGATTATAAATTAAATATGACATTTTGTTTTATTAATTATTTTAATCTATTTTACCTTTATTAGCTATTTTAATGAAATAACCTCTAGCCAAAGAAGGCTTATATATATGTTGTGAAAGTACTTGTACTATATTTGATTATGATATAATATAATATGTGATAAAAGGAGAAGAATTATTTTTTAACCAATGATGTGACTAATCCCATGGCTATGGGATTAGGAATACCATTAGGGTTGTTATTGGCAATCTCCCACTGCTGGAGTAGCAATATCATGACATTATTGGGAGCTTATACGTACACACACCAAATCCCCTCTATACACACACTTAATGATATTTAATTTTATTACAATTGTATCCCTAAGTGAAATTACTATGTTAGACATCATTGTTGATTCAAAACATCTCAATGCACACATCCATCTAGAGTTCACATCTGTTGCATCGTGCACACATCCATCCAATTCAAAACGTCTCCAAGTTTGTAGCTTCATTGAGCTAGAAGTGAAAGCAGAGTATTCACTCATTTGTAGCTTCTTCCAAGTTCATTGAGCTAGAAGTGAAACCAAAGGGATTTGGCATTTCCGTATTGCACATGCACTCAGCTTCTCAATGCACTCATTCATCAACCTTCCTCATTCGTAGGGAAAACATCATTGTTATGGAGGATTTGCCTTCTGAAAATAAGCAAATAAGTGTTTTTGAGAAACATAGCGAAGGAAATGTGAATTTCTCTCTCTTTTGTTTTTCCAGCGTCGTTCGGATAACCAGAGTCGAATTGTGTTATTTGGTTCGAAAATCTACTACCAAAATAAGTATTTATTTTCGGAAGTTGTTGTCCGAACAAAGTAATTAATTTCGGAAGTTGTTGTCCAAACAAAGTATTTAAATTCGGAAGTTCTTGTCCGAACAAAGTTAACTTTTACAACATTCAACTTTCGACATTTTAAAATAAATTCGGACAACTACTTCAGAATGAAGTAAAAAAAAAAATTCCCATTTTATATTCCAAATTTGCAAACTGCATACCAAATTTACAGTTTTGAATTGCAAATTAATCTTTATAATGCCATTAAAAATTTGTAATGTTATACAAAACATGTAGGAATATGTGTCAACTCAAGGAAGTCAGGTTTGTGCGGATTTTGTGTTAGATTACACCACTCAATTCACAACAGAACAGGTTTAGTCTACGAAATTATAACGATTATGTTTTGAATTGCTCACCACATGTAAATGTTTGATAATATTTATTTAACTTTGTAGGTATTCAAAAGTAAGGATGAATTGCTCAACTGGGTATGTGAAGTTGGAAAGAGAAATGGTTTGGTCATTGTAATCAAAACATTAGACTATGGTGGAGGGAAAAAAAGACCCAGGATGTATCTTGCTTGTGAGAGGAGTGACCAATATAGAGCGACAAAGAAGTTAAAACATGATGGCAACAATGCATCAAGAATAACTGGTACGAAGAAGTGTGGTTGTCCTTTTGATATGAGGGCTCACAGGATTACCACACATGATGAATGAATATTGACCGTAGTATGCAGATTGCATAACCATCCATTTGCGGAGCACCTTGAGGGACATTCATATGTGGGGAGGCTATCAAAGGATGAGAAAGCATTGTTAATGGATATGTCAAAGAGCATGGTTCGGCCAAAAGAAATCCTAGTAACCTTAAAATAGCGAGATGCCCTCAATATAAGCACACTTAAACCATTTACAATGTACGCCATCGAAATAGGGTGGTACAGAGAGCTGGAAGATCACAGATGCAACACTTATTGGGTGAATTGGCCAAGTATAATTACATTGAGCGCCATCGGTCTGAAGAGTCCACGATGACTATGACAGACTTGTTTTGGGCACATCCTACCAGTTTGGACTTATTTCGGTCTTTCCCACGTATATCAATTATGGATTGCACATATAAAACCAACAGATATCGTCTTCCTCTTCTTGAAATTATGGGAGTGACATCAACTGAAATGACATTCTCTGTAGCTTTCGCATACTTACAGTATGAGAGGGTTGATAACTATGCGTAGGTGTTAGCTACATTGCGTGATGTCATGGATGGTTTTGTTGTGCCAACAATTATTGTTACTGACAGAGAGCTAGCCTTGATGAATGCCATATAGAAGATATTCCCAAGTTCCAGACATTTATTATGTCGTTGGCATATCAGTAAGAATGTATTGACCAAATGCAAGAAAATGTTTGAGACACAGCAGAAATGGGAGAAGTTCAACCATGAGTGGAACTCTTTAGTGTATTCATCTTCTGAAATTCAATACGATGAGCATCTTAAATCATTACTTAAGGAATTCAGTAGTTATCCTGATGCAGTCAAATACGTCATGGATACTTGGTTGGTTCCTTACAAGGACAAATTTGTGGCGGCATGGACAGACACGTGTATGCATTGTGAGCAATGTTACAACGAACTAGTAAGATTACTTTTCTTAAATATGTTATTAATAAGTGCCATGTACTTTATTTTAATTTGACTTACATTGAATTGAATAGGGCTGAGAGTGCACATGCAAAACATAAAAGACAATTGGGTTCATGTTAAGTCTCATTTCAGGCATCATTTGAGAAAATACACAGTCTGCTTGAGTTGCAACACACTGATATCAAGGCTTCATTTGAGAAAAGTCTAACTGCTGTGCAACATCAATTTAAACCTTCTCAGTTCAGGGAGCTATGGGGTAATGTGTCTATCTCTGTATTGGAGTATTTGCTTGTAGAGAATAAGAGAGCAAATTCCATTGGTATTGATGTTGAAGCTTGTGGATGCGTCCTTCGCCACTCTCATGGTTTACCTTGTGCCCATGAGATTGCTGACTACATCAGACAAGATCGTCCTATACCACTTGCTACTATGCACTCATAGTGGAGGCAACTTCATATCTCCATATGCAAGAAAGAAGAGGAATCAGAGGTGAGTTGTCATGCAGAAGTAGAGTTGTTTGTGAACAAGTTTAATGAAAGTGATAGAACCATACGGTTGGAGCTTTTGAAGAAGTTGAAAGATATTGTATATCCGGGAAGCACTTTTCTTGTTGAGCCGGAGGTGAAGCCCAAAACACGTCCTCGGGATCATAAGAAGATTAGTGTTTCTGCCCGTCGTGACCCGTGTGCATTTGAGTTGGTGCAATTTGGACATGATTCCTTCTCACCTAAGGACACTCAAATCACTACATTAGCTTCTACTCTGCAAACCAAGAAGAAGAGACCTGTTAAGGGAAAGGAGAAGGTGAATCCAAAAAGAAAGGTATACATTACTAGAACAGTGAAACCTGGTGCATATGTTGATGCTTTCCCTTCTGGGTTGAAACCATACATTAAGTTTGTCAAGGATGTAGCTGCAGATGGGAATTGTGGTTTCAGGGCTATAACTGCTTCAATTGGTCATACAGAAGATGATTGGGCTCAGGTTAGGCGTGATCTGTTGGGTGAGCTGCACACACACAAAGAGGAATACATTACATTTTATGGGTCCTACAAAAGGTTTGAAGAATTGACAAGCATATTGTCATACTTTGAAGACAGTCCTGGATACTCACATTGGATGACTATGCCAGACATAGGGCATCTTGTTTCATCGTGCTACAATCTTGTGTTATCCACTTGTCATTACAGAAATGTCTCACCTTTTTACCTCTTAGAACAGTGCCAGTACCTCAACTTGATAGACGTGAGATTGCCATTGGGTTTGTCAACGGAAATCATTTCGTCCAGGTATAACAGAAACTTATCAATTGGGTTTGTGCATGTACAAGAAGTTATGAGGTATGACCAGTAACTCAATTGATATTTGGTGCAGGTTTTGTTACAGCCAGGCCATCCAGTTCCTCCTATAGCCACTAATTGGCGAAAATACCGTCACCCTTGCGCTGTTGACTGGGATGATGCATATGTGCGTCGCATTCAACATTTCAAGGACATTATTCATGATAATGTAGCTACTCGAGAGACATTTGATGTTGTTGATGTCGCATGACACATGTATGCATTTGACAATGTTAGAATTATGGAAGAAATTAATGGCTGTGTTTTTGATGTTGATGTGTTTTGTTTTGCAATCTAGATTGAATGTTATCGACCATTGTTACCATTCCATTATAATAAGAAAATTCATCAACTTACAAAACCAACGACCATTGTTTCCATTCCATTCTAATAATAAAATGTCATTACAATGTCATTCCAATACCATTGTTACCATTCCATTCTAATAATAAAATATTGTTGCCATTCCATTCTAATAAGAAAATATTTACCACTGTTACCATTACAACAATATCATCTTACAAAAAACACCAAAAAAAATCATCAACTAACAAATAACATGTCACGAATCAGCTGTATGCCTACGCCTAGGCCTACGACTGTATGTCAATGTCGAAGATAGAAAGCGACCTCCAGTATAACTAGGTCCAGCAGAACTAGGTCCAGCTTCGTCAATGTGCTGACCTTGAAGGACATGCGTCATACTCTCAATAGCCTGGTAAAGTCAATAAGGATGTTGAATCCCCTCCTCATAACCAGCGTCAATAATAGGATGTGAAATCTGCAATGCCTGTGCAATACGCTGCATTTGAAAAGAATATCACATTTTAGGGAACATATCAGGAAATAAAAAGTAAGTTACAAATGCATAAGAGAGGATAATTGTAAACACCCCATTTTTTACCATCCTCGAGACTTGGTTGTGCTTGCAGGTACACCCAACAACTAGTTCAACTACTCGCCAAGTACTCGACTATCGCGGCGGAACGTCACCGGTTCGAGCTTCTCGGACCTTGTATCCTTTCTGCCCATTTTTGGACCTTGGCTAGGTCCTTTCAGAGGGACCTTCTTGGTGCACTGCCGGCCATGGCATGGAACTGCCAGCCTTTGGTTTGCTCCTGCCGACCATTGGTAAAGCCATGCCGGCCATCAGTGAGCCACTGCCGGCCGTTGGTGATGGCCGGCACCCCCCCTGTCTCAGCTGGTTTTCCTCCAGATCTTTTGAGCCAGCTGGTTTTTTGTTTGCTCCCCTCCATACACATGTATGGAGGGATGAAGCCCTTATAAAGCTTCTTGAAGAAGCTTTTGGCTTTGCATTCCTCTATATAAGCAAGAGGGCTCCCTCTTTGCCAGAGGTTCTGAGTTTTGGAAGGGCAAAACCTCTCTTTCTCTTTATATTGCTTGAGTTTTGTGCTTTGGAGATTGGATTTCCTTGCACTTTTACACTACAACACCAAGATATACACCACTACCATTGAACCAAGCTTCTTGGGAGGTCTTCTTGAGGTCTGAAAGCAAGCTTCCACCCCCTGAAATTGCTGGTTTCGAAGAGGGTCTTCAAGGGTAAGCATTTTCCCCATTTTTGCACTTTCTTGCACCTTGCTTTAGCCCTCTTTTCATATTGATTTAGGCTTTGCTTATAACTGGAAAAAGTCTTGTTTTTAAGTGATTTTTAAGTTTGGTTAGGTCACTTTGCTGTTTGGGGTGTGTAGACCCCTTGCACGCTTTGTTTGGTTTTGTTTTAAGCCATATCTTGAGGCCTCCAAGCTAGCCTTGGTTTGGCTTTCCTACCACTGAAATCTAGTGAGATTTTGGTGGTAAAGGTGTGGTTTTGAGGTCCCAAATCAGAGGGGGTAGTCCCCTCTCTTTGTGTTCCTCTTTACTTGCATTTTTGGCCTTCCAAAGGACCATCCCTCCATACATCTTTGAGGCTTGGTCCAGGCCTTTTTTTGTGACTTCTAGGACCTGCCTTGGCCCTGCCCAAGGCTGGTTTGGTCATGTCTTGCTTGCATCTAGCATGTGTAGTGTAACTCCATTCATAGCTCATCATAGTAGCATGTGTGCATAGTCTTTGTTGAGTCCATTTCAGTTGAGTCCATTTCAGTGGGTTTTTGGTGATGTTTTACCATGCCATGAACCTGTTTTGGATTGGTTTTGTTACTCCATGCTTGCATGACGCACTTGTAATGTAAATTCCCTAAACTAGCTTCATATGCTCCATGCTTTGCCATGTCATTTTAGCTTGTTTGGTTTACATTCCAGCATGTATTTGGTCATCATTTGGCATGTTATGACCCTATTCATAGTTGGTTTAATCATCCTTTGCATGCTCCATTTAGGTGTAGAACAAATCATGTTTACTAGCCCTTTGTGCATGATGTTTTGACTCATCAAACTAGCATATTTTGGCTTTGCTCAAACTTGACTTTATGCTTATTTTGAAGTATTCTAGGATTGTTTTAGGCTGCCATGTCCATACCACTCATGCTTTGAATAGCTATAGTGTAAATGCTTAGGCTAGTCTTGGGTTTTGAGACCCCTACCATGCCATACATGTGATGTTTGCACGCTTTGCCCTCATTCCATATGCTATTTCAGTCCATGAAATGTTGTCATACACTTGCATTTGACATGCCTTGAATGCTTTGTATAGCTTGTGCTTTATGCCTCAAGAATGGACTTTTGCGCATGCCACTTAGCCTAAGTCTTTGGCTGATCATTTCAGTACATTTTGGTGCAGTGCATTGCCTCTTTTGTAGCCTTGCATGTCCTGTGTTTTAGCATTGTATTCTAGCTTGCTTTGGCTTACTTCCTTGCATGTTTTAGTCTCATATCAATATGTACTAGGAGTATTTTGGGTTGCCCTTGCCATATCCTTCATGCTTCGTATAGCTGTAGTGTAATTGGCCTTGCAAGCTTCGCGTTTCGGTGATTCACGCATGCTATCCTTGAGCTATTTAAATGATTTGGCATCATTTATCATCTCATTTCAGTGCATATAGTGTTGTTACACTTGCACATTTGTCACTTCTTAGGCACTTTTGAGAGTTGCCCTTTTAGGCCCCTTTGATGAACATTTCGCATTTCGCATGCTTGAGTGTGTAGTTTGGCTTAATTCATCGCTTTGGCTACTGATTTGGACATAGTTGAGAGCCGTCCATCTTTGGTGTAAGCCCATCTTACCATGTTGTCACATGCTTGTTTCATTTCATATGCTGTCGCATACTTGTTTAGCTTTGCATACCTTGCATGCTCACATGTTCATGTTGCATTTTGTCATGTTGTCCAAGGTCATCACCTCACATCATGCTTATATGCTTGTTGCATGCTTGGTTTAGTTGCATGTTTGCACATTTAGGTCATGTTGCATGTTTGCCATGCTTATGAGTTGCATTGCTTGGATTAAGTGTTAATCCGAGCATGAGGAACGAGGGGCGTTTCATACTTCAAGTGATGGAACGTGTCTCAATTCTCAATCGCCGAAGCTCTTGATGATTCATGATAGAGTTCTAGGCTTTACTTGCTTTATTTGTGCATTCATTTTCATATTGATTTGCACAAGTTGGATCTTTGTCCATCATCCATCGGGATGCGTGATTGATAGTCGTGGATCCGACTAGGCCTCTCCCTTGATGTTTTGAGGTGATTTGGAGTGCCATGGTGCATACATGTCTTTGGGAGACCCTCCCTTTCCTCTATTTTGTGCTTCGTTATAGTTTGGTGTCACAGCACACCAGTGGCCGGCAGCCTACCACTGATGGCCGGCAGTGTGCCACCCTTGGCCGGCAATGGACCACCTTTGGCCGACAGTGATCCTTTCATGGCCGGCAGGCCACTGGTGACTTCCCCTGCAGTGTTTGGTAAGGTCTAGCAACAAGCACTGGAAGACACCTTGCAAACAGAGCCTCTAAAGAGCAACCGGAAGGCATTTTGAGGCGAAGAACCGAAGCGAGCATGCATGCCTCCCTTCTTCAAACAGAGCTGGAATAGCACCGTTTACTGCTTTCCCAACCTGCTTGTTGTCATTCATTAATTAGTTAATTGATTTGTTAATTAATTAAGTGGTGTAATAAATAGTTGTAGCTAGTTATTCAATTTGGTTCTATAATAATTAAGTAGCTTGTTAGCTAGTTAATTAGGTGGCTTGTATTATTTATTCGGTCCCTCCGAGTGAGGGTGCAATTGTAATAAGTATGGGTGTGTGTGTGCATGTCTTCCAACCCCATTTCTTTCTCCCTTTTATTTAACCGCTTATAATGGTTAGATTTAGGGCATATTTCAATTAGCATACCTTATGCTATGCATGTGTGCATTCATTCATCTGTATTGCATGCACCGGGCTCGGCGCATCATACTAACTACATAGTATTTCAAATCTAAATTGAATACGTGTTATCTATTGCATTTCACATGTTATCCATAGATTAGCCGAGCCTATTCTAGTTACATTTTGCCTGTGATGCATTAGCCATTCTAACATGGACTTGGATCATGCATGATTGCTAACAAGTTCTCTGCTTTGGCGCGGAGTACGATGTAAGTATTTATGCTTTAACATCTTGCATGAGTGTGATTGTTAACATGACAGCATGCTTACCATGTAGCTATATGCTTATGTGATAAACTGCCTGAATGCCTGCGGGTGAAGGCTGGATTACTTGAATTGGGATAATTCATTGAAATCCGCATTTTAGCCTCCTTGCGAGTAGCAAACTTCAAACATTTCCAAACAAATGGATATGCAATGTTTTGTTCCAATTCAGGCGATCCAGTCTATACTTGTATGTTGTGCGCATCACATAGTAAATCTAGGCTAAAAACTGGAATAAGAACGCATAATGTTTTCAAAACTAGATATCATGGTTAGTAGAGGCCGATCTTTGATCGGGCGAGCGGGGGTGCTCACGAAGTGACCTTCCCCAATCGTACGCAAGTTCCCGAGCCGAGGCAGCCTTGGTGATGACGGACACGTGGCCTTAGGCAAACGAGTCAGTTCAACTTTTTTGAAGGACCCTCCTCTGTTTGACTCCCATAAAAAAATATTTAGGTGGCGACTCTGTATCTGGCAAAGCAGTCCATGTTTGGCACTTCTTTCTAAAAATTAGTTTTTCAAAACGATCTGCCGAATTTAGACTCTTTGGTGATTTATCAATCTCAGATTGCACTTTGTGAGATCAGATTAAGAATCGTGACATTGAGTCCGAACTGTAG